CCACAGAGCCAGCTGCATCTGTTCTGCTCAGCCGCTGACATGTCCCACCCCAGAGCCAGCTACATGGCAGCCCCATATCCGTAGTCTCCCACGCCCCACCCCAGAGGCAGCCGCATCTCTGTTCTACTTAGAGGTGGCTGCATCCCACAGCCCAGCCTTGTCCCCACCACCCCATGCCAGAGGTGGCTGCATCTGTTATACTTGGCTGCTGGCACAGCCCACCCCAGAGCCAGCTACAGACCTGTATCCTCAGCCCTGATGTCCCACCCCAGAGCTGGCTGCATCTCAGTGAGGGGTCCCGTACCCCCAGCCTTGATGGCTCCCCCAGAGCCAGCCGCAGCTGAGGGCTAGGACCCTCTATAACAGCCACCATGTCCCTCCCACCCCCCAGTGCTGGCTACATCCTAGCAAGCAGTCCTATATCCCAATCTGTGACCTGCTCCCAGAGTCAGCTGCATCTCAAACTGGAGGGAGGGGTGGGGGAGTTTCACCTGCCTCTGCATCAAGGGGACCCAGGCCTCTGTTTGGGGTATCTGGGGGGGGGGTTTGACCCCATCTCTTGGGCATCAGGCCTGCAGGGGGTGGGGTTAGAAAGACCCTGGTCTGGGCTAGAGCAGGCAGCTGGCATGGATGAGATCCAGCCACCCAGCCAGGCTGTGATTTGTCATCCCCCTTCATTCCCCCCTGCTGAAGCCAAGGCAGGGGTCTCAGGGGAGAGGGGCGTGTTGTCTGTGAGCATATACAGTAGGGAGACTGTATGGGCTGTGACCTCTCACCCCCCTACAGCCTTTTGGAGGACATCTCCAACCTTTTTCCCCATCAGCCCCCTGGGTTGTAAGAAGGGAGAGCTCAAACCCTTCCCTTTCAGGGACCAGTTGGACCCTGGAGGAGACCGGAGATGGGCTCTTGAGTCGACTGTATCTCGCCTTCACCTCCCCTATCGACTCTACCGTATATTCTCACATACCACGTGCTGCTCTCCCATGGGACCCCTACCTTGGTTTTGGCAAGGGGGATTGAAGGGAAAAAGATCTCACCTTTAAGACTCTGGAGCCTAATTTCCAGTTGCTAGTTTCTCTTGTGGGGGGGTGAGGGAAAGGCTCATCCGGTCAATGAATCAACACGTATTATATGTGGGTAAGTACGGTATCCCTGCCTTCGCCTGACCTCCACCAGGAACCAGTCTGATTAAACCCGGGGGTGGGGGGTGCCGAGTGGGGAAGGAGGCTAATTTATGTGAATGCTGTAAAACCAGGAGGTTTTATCACCAGGGTTACTGGCGGTGTCCACGTTGGGGCTCCCCAGGCAATTTGCCTGGGTAATTGGGGCAGAGACTTGGGGGGGTTGCAGCTGGAGGGGGAGGTCCCCGGTTGTAGATTCACAGAGGCCAAGGACAGGGTCAAGCTGGCTCCTGTCCAGGAGCTAGTAGGCCCTGACTTTTTGCCCAGTTAACTCCATGCGGGGTCTGGGGCTTCCAGGCCCCCGGAGGCACTCAGAGCCGCGGGGCTGTGTCCATCCCCCATCGCCCACGGCAGGTCTGGGGAGGGCGCCATGGAAGCAGGATCTCACCTCCTGCCAGGTCTGGGGAATAGACCCCGGGGGTCCCGGCTCCCCCCCCACTCTAACTCATGCCACTTCCCCTCCCAGAGCCAGGGAAGGAACCCAAGTGTCCCGGCTTCCTGGCCCTACCCCATTAGGCCCCGCTCCCGTTCCCCAGCTGGAGGTTGATCCCAGGCGTCCGGCCTTCCAGGTCTGACCTCCCCGAAGCAGGGTAGAACACAGGAGTCCTGGCTTCTTGCCTGCTTCGCCGGCTCGCCGGAAACGGGGGAGAACCCAGGTGTCTGGGCTCCCACCCCTCCGATCCTTCTCCCCTCCCAGACCTGGAAAGGACCCAGGCATCTGGGCCTCCAGCCCCTCTGCCAACCCCCCCATGCCCCACTCCCTTCCCTGAGCTGGGGAGAGAACCCAGGCGTCGGGGCTCCCAGCCCTCCTTTCTCACCCATCATCCGCCCCAGCCCGAAACCCCCCTGTTGACACAGTGCCCGACCGGGAAACCACGGGCCTGTTTGCTCAGGGCAAATATGCGTCGGCTGTTTTGTTGTTGGGATCAAGTCTGTTCTCGTTATCGGGAGCAAGCCCAGCCGTGGGGCTGGGGGCAGAGGGGGCAGGGGTGGGGGTGGGGGGTCCTAGGGAGAGGATGGGTCTTCACTTGGGTCTTGGGTCAGAGCAGGAAGGCTGGGAGCCCAGACACCTGGGTTCCCTCCAGCTTTAGGAGAGGAGTGGAGCCTGGGGGTGAGAGCAGGGGTGCTCCGAGTCCGGACACCTGGGTCCTCTCCCCCACTCTAGGAGGGGAGCGGGGGCAGGCCAGTTAATATTCACAGTTATTAATAGGGTGGGAAAGATGAGGAAGATGATGATGATAGTATCATGAGTATGACCCCTGTCATTGCTACAGTGATTATTGGCAGGAGTTAGAATAATGCCTGTCTCCTGATGGTCATTATGATGATTATCATTAACACTAATAATACCCCTGTGGCAGTAATGACAGTGCATTTGTTCTTACTTAATGAATAATTTGGCCTGTGGCGATTAGTCGTAGCATATTAATCAGTATAGGAATGGAGTGTTTTAATGAACATATCATAGATGAACACAGCATGAATAGTTATGTTAATAAATAGAATACTACGTATTCCTAATTCTAGCAGAATAGCAGTAGCAATTATAATGATGAAATATGCATCTACTAATGAAATATTTAGTATATAATCATTATAACATGTTAATAGATGGATTAATATTAGTCTGGTAAAATATTCATTAGCCAGTAATGAATAATTTAGCATATTGTAGTTGTAACATGTTAATGAATAGAGTAATATGTAGACTATTTAGTAGTATATAATGAATCAGTGAGTATAGAATTGGTATTATATATTGATAAATGTTTAAATATGCTGTGATGAAATATTCATTATTATATCATGAATTTAGTATGTGATAAACATGCTAATTCATATAAGCATATACTAATGATGAAATATTTATTGTTAGAAAATCATATGCTATGGAATAAACTTGTTAACTGGTATATTAATAACTGATGGCAAAATATTATATAGGGAATCATTTAGTATATAATAAGCATGTTAATTAATATATGAATATACTGATGATGTAACATTCATTATTATATAAAGAATAATTTAGTATGGAATAAACGTTAATTTATTAATAAACTGATGAGGACATATTCTTTATTATATAGGGTATCATTTAGTATGTAATGGTTATAACCTGTTAATAGATATTCTGATATAATTATGAATGTGAAATACTCAGTATTATATAATGAATTACGTAGTACATCATAAGCACTTATAACACATTATTATTATTATTATTACATGGATCTATGTGACCATTATAAAAATACAATTATAATATTATGATTGGAAGACATACAGCAACATAATCATGCTATTAATATCACAGCATCAATATGCAAATTCTGATCTAGCCTTGTTTTACTTATGGGACTATAATGTAATAAGAGCCATAGCAGCTGGTACTATCCTTGTTATCATAGAACAATGTAATTCTGTACTAACATCTACCACAGACTAATCCCATTACCACGACATAATTATAATATTAGGATTTAATAAATAAAGTGATGCCGTCGGTCATATTTGGTGTTGATATGACTGTAAAATCACTTCCTCATATCATATCATATCATATCATATCATTTCATATCATATCAATGCAAAACATTATTACTACTGTTATTGTTGTCACTATTATTGTTGCTGTTTGTTGTTTTGTTGTCATTGTTCTGATTTAATTATATTATTATCACATTATAATACGATCTCTGGAGGTCCCTTCCAGCCCTACTTCTCTAAGATTTCTATGATAACGAAGCACTGTAATTAGGACATGGTAATGCCATAGCTGTGCACTGTAATCTCTGTGTCTGTATAGTTCACCACTATGAATACAGCATAGCCGTCTAATTATAGCAATAGATTAATACCATCATCATTACATTGTATGTCGTTATAATGTTACTGGATAGTTGTAGTGAGCAGGGCAATCAGCTGCACGGTTAGGCTACGAAACTATGGTGAGAATCGAACCTCTGTGGCAGCCTGTTAAAATGCATTATAATGCTCTAATTAGACTATTATAATGTATTTGTATTAGCAGTAAGGGCTGGCCAGGGGGCTTGCAAAGTTCCAGCATCTTCCCCCCACCCCAATCTACCCCAATTTATTTGCTTATTGAGCAATCACTGGCAAAGTACACGCGAGGTTATTTGTCCCCCCCTCACCCCTGCCTGCCTTGGGCAGGGAGGGGGGCACCAGGATGGAGGGGGCACTGGGAGCAGCCTGACGCTGGATACAGACACCAGGGCTCAAGCACACTGGGTGTCTCCTTGCCTCAGGCATCTCATGGTAGGTGCCCCCCAGGGTGGGAGTGGCTGTCTGGGGGGCACCCTGGGTGGTCACAGGGGCACAGGGCCCTGGCAGCTGTGGGCACAGGAGACAGCTAGAAGTGGGGAACGTAGGTGAGGAAGATGGAGGGGCCCAGACCCCTGGTTTCTCTCTAGCTATGGGAAGGCATTGGGGGCTGGGGGCTGAGAACAGAGGGAAACTGGGAGTCCGGACGCCTCCAGCTCTGGGATGATGGTTGGAATTGGGGGGGTTAGAACAGGTGTGGGATGGGGTGGCTGGGAGCCCGAACACCTGGGTTCTCTGGGAGGGGAGTGGGAGTCCCCATCCCAGTTGCATACAGCTCCTGGTGTGCTGGGGAGACTACTGTTTAATCCACAAGCTGGCGAAAAGCTATGGGGCTCTGGCTCTGGCAGCCTCTGGAAAATTCACTCATTTTTCTCAGTAAAAGTCTCCTTGGGGTCCAATCCCCTCCTGCCGTAGCATATAATGGTTAGAGCAGGGGGCGCTGGCCTTATGGATGTCTCTCTCTCCCCCCAGATGTTACAGCTGTGCTGGGTGCGGAGGGGCCGGGCCCTCCTGGGCCGCCGGCGCCTCTGGCTGCTCCGTGCTGCCCGGCACCGCTCTCAGCACGTTGACTACAAGCCCATCCGCAAGGTCATGGTGGCCAATAGAGGTAAGGCTCTGCTCCTTTATCCTAAGCCCTACTCCTTTCTGCTAAGCTGCACCCCTCCCAGCAAAGGGGTCAGGCTGGCAGCATACTTAGGCAGCATTGCCCCAGCTTCTCCAAACCCTCCCCACCCTCCCTGTACATCCTCCTGGACAGACCCCAGCCCTCCCTTGGTTCAGCCTGCCTAGAACTCCTGGCTCCCCTGCTAAGCCTGGATTTACCCCTGCCCCTTCCTACAAGCTCCCCAGCATGAAAGCAGCCCCTCTTCTCCAGCCCAGGCCCTCCCAAAACTCCCTGCAGCAGGGGAGATGCAAGGCTAGAACCCAGGCATCAGGGCTTCAATCCCACCTGCTGCTCTAACCCCACAACCCCACTCCTCTCCCACAGCAGGCGAGAACCCAGGCATCTGGGATCGTTGGTCCCCTGCTCTAAGCCCCCACTCCCCTCCCAGAGAGAACCCAGGTGTCTGGGCTCTCAGCCCCACTCACTCTAACCCCAGCCCCCGCCACTCACTTCCTGTCCTCTCCCCTCTGAGCTCACAAAAGAACCCAGGTGTCCAGGCTCCCAGCCCCTCCTTGCTCTAACGACCCCCCCAGCCTCCCCCAGAGCAGGAGAGAACCCAGGTATCTGGGCATCTGCAATACCAGCTGCCTCTCACAGGGGAGATCGCCATCCGCGTGTTCCGGGCATGCACAGAGCTGGGCATCCGCACGGTGGCCGTGTACTCGGAGCAGGATACGGGGCAAATGCACCGTCAGAAGGCGGACGAGGCGTATCTCATTGGGCGGGGGCTGCCACCCGTGCAGGCCTATCTCCACATCCCTGACATCATCCAGGTGGCCAAGGTAGGGACCCAGGCGTCCGGGTTCCCAGCCCCCCCTGCTCTCATGCCCCAGAGCCCATGTCCCTCCCAGAACTGGAGAGATCCCAGGCATCTGGGCTCCCATCCCCATTTCTCTAACACCCCCCCAGCCCTTACTCCCTTCCCAGAGTGGAAAGAAAACCCAGGCATCTGGCTTCCAACCTCTCTGGAGTCCATTTGCCTTCTGTAGCTGGGAGAGAACCCAGGTGTCCCAGTTTCCAGACCCCTCTGCTCTAATCCCCCAGCCCCCACTGTCCTCCCAGAGCTGGAGAGAACCCAGGGATCCCAGTTCCCAGCCCCCCTGCTCTAGCCCCTGAGCCCCTCCTCTAGCTGGGAGCCCTGATGCCTGGTTTCTCTCCAGTTCTGGGAGGGGAGAAGGGCTCATGTGTTAGAGCAGGGGTCAGCAACACCTGGCACATGTGCCGAGCATGGCATGCAAGGCCCTTTTGCTCTGCACACCACAGCCAGCCCGGGCTCTAAGCAGCTGCTGCCAGCCACGGAGACCAGGCTGCTCCCAGCAGGCAGCTGGGAGGCTGCAAGCCCTGCTCCAACCAAACTGGGCTCCGTGGGCCGGCTGCAGCCAGGAGGCTGCAAACAGCTGCTCTGGCATGTTGGCACTCCAGCACCTTCCAAGGTAGACATTGTGGTTTTTTCAGCACTTCAGCCAAAAAACATTGCCTACCCGTGTGTTAGAGCAAGGGCTGGGAGCCTGGACCACCTGGGTTCTCTCTTCAGCTCTGAGCGGGGAGTGAGGGCTGGGTGATTGGAGCAGCAGAAGGCAGGATTCCTGGATTCTCTCCTTTTGTCTCCCATACAGCTGACTGCCTGAGTTTCCCTCCTCTGTGCCAGGAGCTTGGTGTAACACTTAAAGAGCCAGTATACTGTTTCGCTAACCCTTCCCTTGCCTCCCCCCATGGCAGGAGAATGAGGTGGACGCGGTGCATCCTGGCTATGGGTTCCTCTCAGAGCGAGCAGATTTTGCCCAGGCCTGTGCTGAGGCTGGAGTACGCTTCATTGGGCCGTCCCCTGAGGTTGTGCGCAAGATGGGTGACAAGGTGGAGGCGCGCACTATTGCTATTGCTGCAGGTAAGGCCCCTACCAGGATCAGGGGCACCGGGTGCTGTAAAGATCCCCCCAGGCCGAGACTGGGGGCACTGGGTGCTGTACAGACCCACTGGGCTGGGATTGGGAGGACACCAAACTCTGTACAGACCTCCTATTCTGAGACTGGGGGTGCCAGCTGCTGTACAGACCCCCCAGGATGAGAGTGGAGGTTGTGGGAGTGGTACAGACCCCCCAGGCTGGGATTGAGGGGGTGCTGGGCTCTGTACAGACCCCCCGGCTGAGATTGGGGTGTGCCAGGTGTTGTACAGACCCCCAGGCTGAAGCTGTACAGATCCCCCAGGCTGAGATTGGAGGGTTACGTGTGGTGTACAGGCCCCCCAGGCCGGAATCAGGGCTATCCCAGGTGCTGCACAGATCTATCAGGTGGAGATAGATGGGGTCAGAACCCTGACAAGAGTCAACTAAGTTATTGACCCCTCATTAAGACTCATCCACCCCTTGCTTTTGGAGTCTGCCCCAGTTCAGCTATCTTTCCCTCGTTAAAGATGGTTACCTGGTTAATTCAGTCTTGCTTTCCACCCTGCTACTCACACGTCATTAAGATTTGTTACCTTGCTTCACCTAATTATATTTCCTTATGGCTCATTATCCAGGTAACCTGGCTACACCTCATTACGGCTCCTTATCTAGTTAATGTGGCTATACCTCATTAAGTCTTGCTATTTAGTTAACATGGTTATACCTCATTAAAGCTTGTTAATGGTTAACCTGGTTATACCTCATTGAGGCTTGTTAACCATCTTAACTTGTTATCTATCATTAAGGCTTGTTATGTGGCTAATCTGTTTATACCGCATTAAGGTTTGTTACCTGATTAAAATGATTATACCTCATTAAGGCTTGTTATGTGGTTAACCTTGTTATACCCCATAAAGGTTTGTTACCCAGTTAACCTGGTTATATGCCATTACTGTTTCTTATCAGTTTAACCTAATTACACCTCATTAAGGCACCTTTGAGCTGATTACACCTTATTAAAGCCGTCCCCCTGTTGTTTAAAGGCCTGTGGCAGACTGACAATTCACACCTCATTAAGGCTGGTCACCCCTGAAGTCACTGGCCTTCTGAGGCCTAAAGGAAACTGAGGCATGGAGAGAAGCTGGGGGTGACATGTTGACATTTCTTCTCTCCCCACCAGGGGTTCCTGTGGTGCCAGGCACGGATGCGCCTATCACATCGCTGACTGAGGCCCATGAGTTCTCCAACAGCTATGGCTTCCCCATCATCTTCAAGGCAGCGTTCGGTGGTGGTGGCCGGGGCATGAGGGTCGTCCGGAGCTACGAGGTACATGGGAGCCTGGACGCCTGGGTTCTCTCCAGCTCTGGGAGGAGATGGGAGCTAGGGGTTAGGGTTAGAGCCTGGGGATGCGAGCAGGGGGGGCTGGGAGCCCGGATGCCTGGGTTCTCTCTCCCCATCACCTCCTACTCCGTCCCCAGGAGCTGGAGGAGAACTATACTCGTGCCTTCTCGGAGGCACTGTCTGCCTTTGGCAATGGGGCGCTCTTTGTGGAGAAGTTCATCGAGAAGCCACGGCACATTGAGGTCCAGATCCTGGGTGAGCCACTCCCACACGACTTGCCCCCCCACTTCTACCTGTAGGGGCAGAGGCTCTGATCTGGGTCTGATTCTTGCTCCTTATTAGGTCGGAGGAGGGGGATGCAGCCTGTCCCATCCATGGGTCCTGATCTGGGCCTGATTCTGGGGGGGAGTCCCTGGTTGAGGTGGGGGAGGGGTCTTGCACCCCCATGGGGCCCCAATCTAGGCCTGATTTTGGGGAAGATTCTTTGAGCCCTCCCCCTCACCCCTTGCAGGGGACAACTATGGGAATGTGGTACACCTCTATGAGCGCGACTGCTCCATCCAGCGGCGCCACCAGAAAGTTGTGGAGATTGCACCAGCGGCTCACCTGGACCCCCAGCTTCGTGCCCGCCTCACCCATGACGCTGTGCGCCTGGCCAAGCAGGTGGGCAGGGGCAGGGGGCTGCGAGGTGGCAGTGAGAGGCACCAGCAGGGCAAGGGGCTGCAGGTTGGGAGCGAGGGGCACCATAGGCTTCAATAGGCTTCCCTGCTCTAGCCCCCCAACCTCCACTTCCCTCCCAGGAGTCCTTGGCTCACCCCCTCTCGCCCACAGGTGGGATACGAGAACGCCGGCACAGTGGAATTCCTGGTGGACAAACACGGCAAACACTATTTCATCGAGGTCAACTCCCGTCTCCAGGTGGAGCACACAGTCACCGAGGAGATCACCAAGTGCGTACAGCTCCCAGCACCAAGCGAGGGGCTTTGGGGCTGTGGTGGGCAGTCCAGGGATCTGGGTGGGGCTGTGATGCCATCTTTCCACCCACCCCCTGAGACATTGGGATCAAGACTGGCTTGCTGATAGATCTCCCCGCAGCTCTGGAGACCTGCAGAAATCACCCAAACAATCTTGGTTTGAAATGAGCTGGGGTGGAGATCGTCCCAGCAAGGGGTCCCAACGCCCCTTAGAGCAAGCTGCATCTGTTCTACTCAGCTGCTGACACCTCCCACCCCAGAGCTAGCCGCATTGCAGCCCTATATCCCTTGTCTCCCATGCCCCCCCCCAGAGGCAGCCACAACTCTGTTCTACTCAGAGCTGGCTACAACTGTTATACTTGGCTGCCCAGTCCAGAGCCAGCTGCAGCACAGACCTGTATCCCCATATCCAATTT